CCCCCGGCGCGCGCGCGCCCTGCCCCTCTGCCCACCCCCGCGACTCGTCTCTTTTGTGCGGGCACCACACCCCAACCCCGGTAAAAAAACGCAAACCATTTCGATAGACATGAAAAGAAAGAAGAAGAGGTTTGTAACGGAAAAACCTTGAATGGTGATGATGATGATGGTTGTCTAACAAAGCTATGGGGCAAGAATCAACAAAAAGTAATGGCAACAATGAATGGCAATGCTGCTGATAAATATGCATTTGAGACCTTGGCGGAACACATTAGAACTGGTTCTGACGATGGTAGTGCGGCACGCTCACGCCTGGTACGAGGGGCAGCAGGCACGGTCTGACGGGCATTCCAAGGTTCCAACGCAAACACAAAGCGTCGTGACGCCGCCGAATCAGCAAGGAAACCATCCGCGTACTTCCGTTGTTGGAGCGTTTTCTGTTTCATGTGTCAGTTACAACAAGACAGCTAGTCATGCGGTTTGGGTCACACGAATACGCCCTTGAGGAACAAATGACATCTATCTCCTTTTCCTCTCACATCTTTCAAGCATCCAGCCCGTAGCTCGGAAGGTTGATTACCACGGCGATCACCATTGTCCCACCTAAAGAACAGCAAGCCAGTCTACCCTTCCCACCGAAAACACCTACCCAAACGTGGACGTTTTACAAACATCACCATGCTTGGCGTAGCAATGAGTGGTGCGAAAAACATCACCACCACCAAACATGTCAACGCGCGCCAGACGGGGCAAACGAGACCACGTGTGACAGGAGACCCAAGCTCCAAAGCGTGGAGAGTAGAATCGGCAGTCAGCCACAACCCCCGCATCACTAACCACGAGGTTCCTAACTTTTTAACCCGCGAGACGAGAACCGGCATGCCGCACCCACTTCCATACCGTCCCATTTCCACTGTAAGACGACCGTCTCCCCTCATGCCTAGCACCAGACTAACCACGAAGCTCCTAACTTTTTAAGCCGCGAGACGAGAACCGCCATTCCGCACCCATTTCCAAAACGTCCAATTCCACTCTAAGGCGATCGTCTCCCCTGTTGCCTCTCCCCCCCCCC